CCCAGTTTATCTCTTAATTCTGAACCTCTTTCCCTGACTGACAATATGGGTGTCTGGGCTCTCGAGCTCCCCACCAGCCGCTGCCCAGTAGGGCTTTGCCTGGGTCGGGGGTACATGTGAGATGTGCTAGTCCTCGGTCTCTGCCAGTCCTGTGAAGGGGACTTTCCTTTGTTGGGTTTTGTTTTTACTCTGTCCCGCTTTCCATCCCCTTCCAGTGTGGTGAGAGAGGTTAGTGTGAAAGCTTTGTTACTTGGAGTACCTTCCATACCTGTGCAACCTTCTTTAAAAATTAATAATACGGGACCTTTGACACTTGATTTAGCTGAAGCTGCACAGCGTCTTGATTTAGTCTTGCTCAGAGCCAAAGTCATCTTGCATTTACTGGCTGCTTTGCTGGGACCACGATAGTGTTTAGGGCTGTTGTTGAATTTTCAGAAGGTAAGAACATCGTTTTATAGCTTTTACGTAAGTGGTAAGCGATGTCAACGTGCGTCAGATATGCTCTTCTAAAGAAGCGGAGGCTTTATCTTGCCCCTTCTCTTTGCATTGCGTTCCAGAACTTAAAGCAGCAGTATTATACTGGATACACAGAAAATGAAGTATTGGAAGTCATGCAGCACATGGCCAAAAATGTAGTGAAAGTTAACGAAAACTTAACAAAATTCATCGTAAGTACTCCTTCCTACACTGAAAAGCATTAGAATATGGGTTTTGTGAGTGAGGGTATGCATATGTGTGTGCGTTTGCATTTTCATGGAAATGTAATACTGACATTTGTGAGAGTCTGTTGTAGCACAAACTCTTTTCTCGTACAGCAGGGGATGGAGCATACGGATATACCCCACAAGCAGATTCTCTTTAAAACAAGGTAGCTAGGCTAACCGTGTCCAGGCCCAGTGTAGTCAGCCAGACAGCCATTCCATGCCTCTACCCACACTCGTCCCAGCGTCCTGGGGAGGGCACGCAGGCAGTCAGGGCAGGTGCTCACTGTGTCGTCTGGAACCCCTTAAATGGCCCTGTGGAAGGCTTGGGGACTCGGGGCCTCTGTCCAGGATCTTCTGGGACAATGGCCAAGAGGCCCCCGAATGCAGGCCTGGTGAAGAAGGAGGGGCAAGAAGCCCATTCAGAAAGCTTTCTGGGGGCCTGGTGTCTGTCTCCGTGTGGCCCACCTGAGAGGTGGAGGCAGAGCAGATGGGGCACTATCCCGTGCTTGTGTGACACCGAATATCACCAAGGATCTGGTGACAAAGAGCAAGGCATTTGTGCCAAGTGTCCTGACAATCTGCTTTGCTTCCTTGCATGTAGCTTCCGCGTAATTTAGCGCACTGTGGAAGTGTGAGGGTATTGTCTGGGGTCTGCTAAGCACTGGTTGCCACTTGGCTTTTATTGCCATTGTTGCTGCCTGTCCTGGCAGACCTGTTATGGCCTGGTGGCACTTAGGTCTGATAAACACGGCTCCCACAGCCCACCCTTCTGGCAGCATAGGAGAGAGAGCCCACTCCTTGGACCTTGACATCATTTCTTACCCCTCACCAGTGCTACCAGCTGGGTTTTATCTGGTGCTGGGCATGGAAGGAAATTGTCAGGTGTCGCACATTATGACCTCAGGGCGCTTGCTGGCTTCAGTGAATCGCCATCATCACACCAATTGGAGATTATGGGTCTGGCCCCTAAATACTTGTGAGTTAGACCAGGAGTGAAGTAGAAGGGGGGGGGGTCCTGATGTGTGCTTAATCACAGATGACTTCTGCAGGCCATCAAGAATAAGTATGCAAGCAGCAAACTCCTGAAGATCAGCACAATTCCTCAGCTGAACTCAAAAGCCGTCCAAGAGCTTGCCTCCCCTCTGATGGGACGGTCCTAGGCTGCTGTGGCCCTCGGGGAAGAATGCTCCAACCGTGCACTTGGTCTCGCTGATCTGGAGCTCTTCACTTTGTATATAGTCCTCTGGTCTATTTCGTGAAACCTTTCCTTAGGCCTATTTTCTAAAATGTATATTGAGGAAAAATAAAGCTATTAATTTTTCTTAAAGTATCCTGTGTGTTTTTTTTTATGCAATCTATACTGAACAAGGTCAGTAGAAGCTTGGTTTGACTAATTTCTTTTTGAGCTGTTATGAGTAGCATGTAAATTATTGCCTTTGTGGCTTTGGGAGAGACCTTCCTACCATTTTCTCAAATGGAGCAAACTAGAACTTGGCTTCAGTGATTGCTAACCCATTCCTAAACTTCTGGAATATACAAAGATTGACTCATTATGAAAATTGAAAATGGGAGGATAACCATGACAGTTCTCTTTCTAGAACCTACTCAACTATCTTCTCATTCCCACACAGGAACGCCTGGTCCACTGGGGTGAGGGCCACCAGAAGCAACCCTCACAATGTGTCTGTGTCTCAAAGGCATGGTGGGACCAGGAATGTCAGTCCTAAAGGACCACCGCTGGAAAACGAAAATGGGCCTGCGACACCTTGTTAGAGTTGAAGGTTGGAATGCATTTTCCTATTTCAGCCACCTCGTAGGTTACTATTTATTATTATTTTTTGGTGGGCAGTTGATCACATTTAACATTATTTTCTAAGGGGGAATGCATTCTCGGTCTCCAACCACTAACTTAAAAAAAACAAAACAAAACACCACCATAAAATAAATGAGTGCCTTATAGCAACAACTTCCCAAACTATTAGTTCAACACATGTTAATTGCTTTTGGCGAGAAAGGAGCCAAATACATTTGGGAAGCACTGCAACTCACTTTAAGATTCCTACAGGCTCTGAGAAGCTTTGCAGTAAATTCCTTTCTTCCCCCAGTCGAGAGTGTGGTAAAGCTGCCTTGTGTGGGGCAGCGAGGTCTGCGGGTGCTGGTTCTGGGACGCAGCTGTGGCTTGTGACTGGCCTGGGAGGAGAGCCTGGCTGGCTCCAGCTAGGGCTCGCTCCCCATCTCTCCCTAGGCAGGTCAGGGCCGCCTACAGAAGTCTGTAGGTGCTAAGCGCTCAAGCACAGGGAACCTGGAAGCTGTGTATGTTGAAGTCCTGGTGTAAAGCTTCTGAGTGTCCCTGCTTGAACGAGACTTGTTCCCATGGCAGCCTTAGACTGACTTGGGTCACACGTGAATAGCAATGAAGTGAGACCATGCAGGGATCTTTCCTGGCTCTGAAAAGCCAAGTTATTGCCCAGGGATGCTTGAGCTCCAGCTTCTCATCAAGAAAGGATGGGTTTTGTAGGAATATTCTGAAGACGTTTTATAGCTTCCTTGTTATATATTTTGCTTAGTTAAATATTAAATAGCCTCATTCAGGAAATTCATACTTCCAGAATCTCATAAAAAAAAAAGACCTTTCAGATACTTCCTTATGTGCCACAGCAGGCACCCAAAGCTAAATTAGTGTTATAAATGTGCAATAAGCTGTAAAAGTAGAAATCATAATATTGTAAAAACACTGAAATTAGAAAATGAGATGATGTAACCATAGTATTTGAAGAGCACAGATCCTGAAGCTGGATTGCACGGGTTGAAGTCTCGTTAGCAGCTGTGGGATCTCCGTGCCCATGTCTGTGGGGGAGAGTGGGGGTCCGAGCATCTCCCTCATAGTGTTGGAGTACTGAGAAAGGTATGGCAAGCCCTTAGCGCCGTGTCTGGATGTGCTCGAATGTTAGTGGCTGTTATTTTAAGGAAGTTGATGGTCTTGGAAAGAGATGGACTCTGGGCATTCAAAGATATGTTAGATACCGCCCTTGCCCGTCAAATGAGTTTGCAAATTTAAAGCTGTGGAGTCTTATTTGTGAGTTTTTCTTTTTTTTATTTTGGTTCTTGATTTTTATTTCTTTGGTTCTTGTTCTTTGAGAAAAGTATAATTGGAGGTGGAAAGGTTGACAATTAGACTATCAAACTCCTTGATATTAGCTGGATTGAAGACAGAGATGAAAAGCACAGGCCTTGGGGGTCAGATCAGGGGTCAAATGATGGTTCCTCTCCTTACGAGCTATGTGACCTGGGCAAGGGAGTGAACTGTACTGAGCCTTCTTGCGAGTGGTTTTAGACGAGGCCATGCCTGTCGGAGGGGCAGGTACAGTACTGTAGGAGGGAAAGGCGTCCAGCAGCTGGTAAGAGTAAAATAAGCTAATTCAGGAGCAGCTGTGAAGGCCAGCGAGGCCTTGGGAGAAACCCAAAGTGAGGCAGCAAAGGGAGCGAGCGACGTAGCAGAGTGGCTCCCACTCTTTGACCATAAAAGTGAAGGGTACCAGGGAAAGCAGTAGGTTCTCCCCGGAAGATGCATCCTGGGCACATGGTGCTCCTGAACCCGGACGCTGCCTCCACCTGCCGCTGAAAGCACTGTAAAAGCGGCCAGTAGAGGCAGGGCCAGTCTCGTCTGCCCAGCTGCACGCCGGGGAGGGCTGCGGAGTTTGCAGGGAGTCCGGATTCTGTACAAGCCCTGCTCCATGGAGCGCCAGTGGAGGTCGTCAGTTACGTGGGCACACAGCCGTGTTGTCTCGCGCTTGTTCTTGTGGACTTCTCTGCCTGGAAGGAGGAGGAAGATCTCTCGCTGGTGCCCTGGATAAACTGCTCTCTGTGCTGAGACTTGCTGTCCCCAGCAAGAGACTCCCAGCTTCCCTGGCAGTTGAGGCCACGTGACTAAGTTCCAGCTAGTAGACTGTGAGTGGACATGGTGTGTGCACGTTGTAATGAATGTTCTTTAAAAAAGAAACTGCTTCTCATCCCCTTTCTACCTTCATAGGGCTGGACTTGGTAATGGTGGTGAGTCACGTTTGATCAGATGGGCTGGGACAATACGTGTGCATGGTTTGCACGCCTGTTGGCAGAACAGGTTATAAGGCCTCACCCTTTGCCCTCTCCATGGGCATTAGTCTCGCTTCCCAAAGCCTTGGGGAAGAGATGGCCCTTTCACATGATGTTTTCAGAGAGCCAGCTGCACCCCCTGTTCATTAGCACTTAGCCCCTCTGGTGGTTCTCAAAATGTGGCCTGGGGATCCTCGAGACTCCTTGAAGAAGCCCACGAGGTCAAAACTATTTTCATGTTAAGACTAGGATATTGCTTTTTCTCATTCTTGTCTGTCCTTAATGTGTGGTGGAATCTTCCAGAAGCTACATGACATGTGATGATGTCCTCACTCTGGCGGTTAGTAGACTGTGTTTTTGGTGTTTTCAAAAATTTTGTTTGAATTTCTAATATAGTAAATACCAATAAGCTGTACGGACAAAAGCAGAACTCTCTGAGGTTTTCAATAATATTGGAGTGTAAAGGGGTTCTGAGGCCAAAGGGTTTGAGAACTGCTGGTCTGCTACTCGTTGAACATCTCTGTCCGAGGGAACGTTCAAGCCTGCTCGGCATGCTTGGTTACTTTAAACCTCTGGTTGAAGGGATCTCTCACATCCTTGTACTGCGTTTTCTGCTGCTGAACATGTGTGGTGTATGTGCACAAGCACACCATCATCCCAAACAGGATGGTGTGTTCTAGAAGGCAGGGGTGGCCCCTTGAGCCTCTTTACATACAGTCTCCCAGGTGAAGTTACTCTTGACCTAACAGGGAACAAAATGGCCGTCCTGGCTAGATGCGGAGCCCAGAGAAACCTAGGATCATGACTTCAATGAATTTACTCCCCTGTTTAAGCAACGTTGAGGACCTCCTCGAGCCTGGCACTAGGTAAGGCACGTGGGTGCAGGGCTGGGGCTTGCTCTGTGACCCCCACGAGCCGGGCTGTTCCCGCTGCTCGTGTGGATGTTAGACTCTGTTCCTGTGTTGTCACCTAGAGCCTGAGGGGTCCCAGTTACACACCAGTTTTAAAGGCCCATCATTAAATTAAAAGCAGCCAAGATTGATCCCATTTTTTAATGCATAACATTAGGAAAATTATGTAAAGCCAATAATTTTTGAGTGTAGCTGACACACAATGCTGTAGTAGGTTCAGGTGTACAACTTAGGGATCTGACAAGTTCATACATTGTGCGGTGTTCACAAGTGTAGCTGCCATCTCTCATGACCTCACTATTACAATGTCATTGACCGCATTCCTAACGCTGTGCCTTTTATTCCCAGGACTTATTCATTCTATGGCTGGAAGCCTGGATCTCCCACTCCCCCTTGCCCATTTCGCCCATCTCCCTACCCTACCCCCGCCCCCCCCCCCCATTTCTCTGTATTTATAGGTCTGATTCTGTTTTTTGGTTTTGTTCCCCTAGATTCTTACTTACGAATGGAATCGTATGGTGTTTGTCTTTTCAGCCTGTCCATGTTGTCTCAAGTGGCACAACCTCATCCTTTTTTTGAATATATTTTTATTTAAGGAATTTCGCAAGGGATTCCTTCCACTGCACAAGGTCACCTTAGTTCCTCCAAAGCTTGAGTTAACATTTATCCTCAAGATAGGCCTTTTCAAAATAACTTATAGTTAATTCAGGCTGTCCTGTCACTTGACCCCCAATTTTTTTTTTTTTAAGATCCTGAGATCATGATCTGAACTGAAATCAAGAGTTGGCTGCTCAACCAACTGAGCCACCCAGGCGTCCTGGAACCAAACTATACTTTAAACATTATTTGTTATTGTTCTGTTCTTGAACACAGAATTAAGTGGTTTACTTTGTTCTAAGTTCAGATACATTTTTTTTTCCTTATATGTAACCCCTGGTAATTTTTCCCCTGGACTCAGGAAACTTGGAATGACAAAAAGGTGTGTGCTGGTCAAACCCTACTTTCCCAATAGCTTCAGAAAGGCCGAGGCAACCAGAAGGAGAGGCAGAGAACTGACCGTCTCCCCCGAGAACCACTGCCTCATTGACAGACATTCCATCGTTTCCGACTTTTCACTATTACTGCAATAACCACCGCACTGGCCTGCTAGGCTCGCCTTCACAAAGTGCCACCGACTGGGTGGCTTACTGACAGAAACGGACGGTCTTCCAACTGTGGAACCTAGAAGTTCAAGATCTGCTGCGTGTGGGTAAGGTTGGTTCCTCCTGAGGGCTGTAAGGGAGGCACATCTGTACCAGGCCCCTCTCTGTGGCTGTAGACGGCGGTCCCTTCACGTCCTCTCCCCTCTCTGTGTCCATCTGTGTCCAAGTGTCCCCTTTTTACCTGGACACCAGTTATATTGGACTGGGGCCCACCCTAATGACTTCATTTTAACTTGATTATCTCTGTAAAGAAAGACCCTCTATTTCTAAATAAGGTCATACCGTGGGGTACTGGGGTTTAGGGCTTTAACATATCTTTTTTTTGAGGGGGTAGGGAGACACAATTCAACCTATAACAAATGTCACAAAAGAACAGGTGGTTCACTGATTCCTTTATTTATTTAGGAGGTAGGGGGAGGGACGGGACAGAGGAAAATTACCTACAGGGCAAGGGTTGAGGAGGATTTGCAGGGGCTGGGCTAGAAAGCAGTAACACTGATTCTATAGTTGAAAAGGAGTAGTGCACATTTGTAAGTACCTGGTGGGAGATTTGTAATAAAACCTACCTTACGAATAAGTACAGTGGAATACTACTTAGTACATTCATACATGTTTCTACCATCTTAAGATTTTTATATATACAGTATATGATCTGTTTTTATAAATGTACAGCTTGAAAAAAGAGATCCTTCTTGTAATAGGTACAGCATTAAACACAAAACCAACATGGGCCAGCCACATTCCAACTGAAGACCCAGAGAAAGCAAGGCCCCCAGCCCAGCCCCCAGCCCCGGCCCAGCCCGGCAGCCTGATGGTCCTGGCGAAGCGTAAACCAGCACCCCTCTGCCCCTGTGGGCTCCGCAGGCCATGCTGGCCCTTGGCATCTGCATGGCAAGTGCCCGCTCATGCCAAGCCCAACCTGTAGAGGGCAGGTCCTCCCTGAGGGAAAGTGGCAGAGACGAATGTGTGTATCAGGTAAAGAGGGTTGAAAGAAATGTGCTCTTTGACTAAAGGCACTTGTCAGCGGCCGCCTACAGCCAATCCCTGGGCCTGGTGAGCGAGCGGGGTGCTGTTTTGATACAGCCAACAAGGTCTGAGTGGACCTCGCCTGTCCTCTCACCAGGTTTAAATACAATAAATAAATCTTAGTGGGTGGTGGTTTTGCCCTCCTGGGCTCCTATGAATAGGGCTGCCTTTTAGGATCATTTATGGAGTGATACACCCTGTCCCCAACCCAGCATTTCAGTGTCCTCCATGGGGAAGGTGCCAGAAAAACTCCAGGCCTTAAAGGAGGAAGCAGTTGCTCGCTATGGATCAGAAGGAGAACCCCAAACATCCCCTTCCCTGTCTAGAGCTCCTTCACCCGTGAGTCAGAGTCTCTGTGCGCCTCAGATCTTGGTCACATAGTTGTTGGGGAACAAGCCCTGCTTGCCTCGTAGTCGACCCGTCCACCAGCCAGAAGGATCTGCAGGAGACAGAGATGGCGAGAGTGACGGTGAGCGAGGCGGTCCTGCCTGGGCCAAACACACCCTGCTCCTACGGGTGCATCACGTGGGCACAGGTGGTTTGGCTCCCTCCATCTGTGTTCTTTGTCCTTATTTTCTTTTAATTTTTTTTTTTAAAGATTTTATTTATTTATTTGAGAAGGAGAGAATGAGAGACAGAGAGCACGAGAGGGAAGCGGGTCAGAGGGAGAAGCAGACTCCCTGCCGAGCAGGGAGCCCGATGTGGGACTCGATCCCGGGACTCCAGGATCATGACCTGAGCCGAAGGCAGTCGCTTAACCAACTGAGCCACCCAGGCACCCTCTTTTGTTAATTTTTAAAAAGATTTTATTTATTTGAGTGGGAGAAAGCGAGCAGCGGAGGGAGAGGGAGAAGCAGACTCTCCACTGAGTGGGGAGCCCGACGTGCAGCTCGATCCCAGGACGTTGGGACCGTGAGCTGAGCCGAAGGCAGACGCTTAACCGACTGAGCCACCCACATGCCCCCTTTCTTTTAAATGAGCGCGTTTGTTGTAAAAAGTAAACCCTCTCCCACAGCAGACACAGACCACTCAGGGTCCCTGCTGCTCCCACGTGAGGCTTTGCCCGGCCTCTGAGATGAGGCTGGCTGCTCCCCGAGGGGCCCAGGCACACCAGCCTCACCCAGCAGTCTTTACTCTGGACCAGCAGCTGAGCCGCGGGAGGCCGGCTGGGGGCGGTGAGATGGCCCCCAGCCCTCCCCAGTCTTCCTCACACAGGGCTACTCCCCCCTGCACCTTCCCCACTCCTTCCTCCAGCGCAGAATGTTCCTGGAAGAACCCGATCTACCACACCTCCCACCTTAATCCCGGGCCCTCCACCAGGAAAAAGCATGTGGTCTACATTCTTCCAGACCCTCTTCTGTGATTATAACCCCACACTCATTTTAAACAGAAACGGGCCACTCTATCTTACTATTCTGCTGCTTGCTTTTCAATACTTAACAGATATTGTCTTTCCACGTCTGCATCTCATTTTTAAACAGCTGTATTGTATACCAAGATTTATAGAACCATTTACTCGGTGATGGACGTTTGTTCCCACTTTTTCCACTACTGATGGAATAAATGTCCATACCAGTATCTTTACATCTGCATGCAAGTAGCTCTATAGGAGAGATTCCTGGCTCAAAGAACATAGACCTTTTATTCTGTAAGACAACATAATTCATTGTTACAATAGGTAATACTCTTCCGTGTGCTTTTAAAAGTACCAAAGCGGAGTGCCTGGGTGGCTCAGATCATGATAATTCATTTACATATTTTAGATCTCTAATTCATCTGATATTTGTTTTGGGTATGAGGTAGAGCCCTAACTTTATTTTCTTTTCAAAATGGAAAGTCATTGTCTCTCCTTTCCCCTGATTTCAAAGGCCACATTTATCCTATATTAAACACCTGTACACACACGGGTCTCTTTCTGGATTCTGTCTCATTTATCTAGATGTATTCCTGTACTCACAATGCACTGCACCAATTACAGCGAAAATTTATAGCGTTTTCTGAGAACTTCTAGGACTCTACATTTTACACAAATATGTAACTGTTTTGATTCAACCCAAAATACGTGTTCTTTCTAGAAAAATCTGAAATATTGAGAAATGAAAAGAAAGCAATACTCACTTAAAATTCAACACTTTAAGGAGACCACATATGAATATGTGAATATATACATACGTGCAGAGAACCGTATGTTTTATATTTTTACAAAAATAAGACTACAGTCCAGTCTACAACCTTTTTCCCCATGAACATTTTTCCATTTCAGTAAGTATACCTACCATACTACTGCATCATTATCTCTAATAAAAATGTATGTCATCGAAGTTCACTGACTGGATAGAGCAAAGCTCATTTAGCCAATCTTTGTTACTTGGTAATTGGTCATTTCCAATATTTTTGCTGAACAAAGCTGGTGATAAAAATTCTGTGTTTACTAAGCATTTATTTCAACTTTTATTTCTACTCTGACACCTTCTAGGAAGAATACTAAATGGCTGAAATATTAGTCTCTACAGCAAACTAGATGGCTCAAGGAGGTCAAAATAATGCCCAGAGGTCATTTAGAAGATCAGCCCAGGGACCTATAAGTCTCCTCCGAGTGACCCCTGTGATGAAGGAATTGGTTAAAAACACCATTCTTGGAACTGTCTGTCCTCGGCCACCTCTTCCTGAAGGCTGAACTTACCAAGGCCCACTTCACTCAGGCTGTCCTTGCTCTGCCCCTAATGGATGGTTCCGTACGGTCCACAAGTTCTCTTGAGCCCAACATTCAGGGCCCTCCACCATCAGGCCACTCTTAGCTTCATCTTGTCTCCTATGACGTCCCCTGGGGAATCCTGCCACAGGGTTGAGCTCATTTTCCTAAAATGATCTGCTCTTTCTAGCCTCCCTGGCTTCTCTGTCTCTCCCCCCATTCCCCACCAAAAATGCCATTTCCTTCAAGGTGCTTTTTTTAACATCCTAAGTCAGGTGTTATTTTATTTTTTTTGTTAAGATTTGTTTATTTACTTAGAGAGAGAGAGAATGGGGGGGGGGAATCCCAAGCAGATTCCACACTGAGCGCAGAGCCGACACAGGGCTCGATCCCATGACCCTGAGGTCATGACCTGAGCTGAAATCAAGAGTCAAATGTTCGACCAACTGTGCCACCCAGGTGCCCCCGAAGTTATCTTTTAAAAAATACTTCCATAAGCACTAATGTTTGGTCATACATATATTATATTCTAACTTATCTTGTCTACCAAATTAATAAAGCATTCAGCCAAGCTCACAGACTACTTTTATAAGAGATGTTACAGGTTGCCTCCCTGACTTCCATTCCATCTACCTTCCGTATGAGGAGGCCATCAAGTTTGGGTGGGGTAGTCGTAACTCCCATTTCCTACAGAAGTCCCTGCCATGCCTAACCTACTATAGGTACAGCCCTTGTCTTGCTACAGAGATTCAGGGATGGACACACGACCAATTTGGTCTAATCAGAGTGAAACTCAGGTCTTTTGTCCAATGGCTAAGAGAAATTTCAGAGATAAAGATTTCAGACCTGGTTTGATCTGTTGCTAGAACTGAGGCAGCCACTTTGCTGCCATGAGGGAAAACAGCCAAGAAGGGAGCAAATACAAAGAAGGCAGAGCTGAAGAAGTATTTAAAAAAAAAAAGAAATTGGAGCATTGATCAAACTGAGCCTGAAGCCTAGATTCCTGCTGCAAGTTTCAGTTAGAGCAGCCTATAAATTCCCTTCATGTTTAAACTAGTTTTTATAGCACTGTGACTGAATGTTATTTAGGAGGCTGTCCCAGCCAGCCAGCCAGCCATGCACTTACCTTCTTTGATAATGTCGATAATGTCATTGGCATTGAAGCTGAGTTCATCTGTGTCCTGAGCATCATAGGCATAGAGAGCCTTGCACTGTGGCACCTGAGGCTTAGGCTTGGGCTGGGGCTTGGGTCTGCCCCCGGCTGGGGGAGGCCGACTGCTTGTTTGCCTCCGGACACTGTGGAGAGAGTGGAGGCAGGTGAGAGACAGGACCTAACAGGAGGCCAGCACCGTGTGGTGGTCTGGAGCACGGGGCCAGCACTGGCCTGCTCAAGTTCAAATCCAGTTCCATCCTTAGAAGATACGTCAATTCCCAAACTTACTCTGAGAATAAAAATACCCCCGCCCCAACTCTGGAGACAGAACTTTTGCCAGTGCCCCAGAAGCCTGCAGGTGCCTCTCCTCAACAGCAATCCTTCCCAGAATTGACCACCACCCTGCATTTTGTATTAATAATTCTGCTTTTCTTTGTGGTCTTGACCACACACAAAAGTATCCCTAAACAGTACACATAGTTTGCCTATTTTTTTACTGTATAAAAGGAATCATGTTTTGTTTTGTTTTGTTTTTAGGGCCGGGGGTGAAACAGAGGGAAAGAAAGACACAATCTTAAGCAGGCTCCACGCCCAGCACAGAACGCGATGCAGGGCTCGATCTCACGACCCTGAGATCACGACCTGAGCCGAAATCACGAGTCCGACGCTTAACCACCTGTGCCACCCAGGCGTCCCAAAAGGAATCATGTTCTATCATTCGCTCTATTTTTGAGATACACCCTGGTGATGCATGAATGTACTGGCCACGAGTTCTTGTGGCCTCACCCTCTTCCATGGCACGAATATGTCACAAATTACTTCTCCAGTCCCCTGTTGATGGTCATTTGGGATGATTTCAGTTTCTAGCATTGCGAAAAAATAGCAAAAATAAACATGCTGCTTTGACTATTCTTGCGCGAGCAGTTTCTCAGCCTCAGCACCACTGCCGTCTGGGGCCAGCGCTGCTGGGGACGCTCTGTGGGGGCCGCCCCGTCTGGTGTACCACAGGCTGCGGGCAGCATCCCGGCCTCCACCCACTGGGTGCCAGCAGCACCTCCCCCACCTCACTGCGATCATCAAAACCATCTCCAGCGCCAGCGCCCTCAGCCGGGTCCTCTAGCTTTACACGTATTCTTTCTACACACTATACTGCCTCCAGCCTCCCTTCGTACATGTCTCAGAGGCACTGTAGCTTGAGAGATCTTTAAACTTCTATCTGAAACAACTCTTCGTTAAGTATGTTCATACAAGGCATTTAGAAAAAAAAGTAGTAAATTTCCCACTCTGCTTGAGGAGAAACCAGGAAAAGCCTACATTCATTTGCTCACAAAACAAACCTAAGTTGAAGATTTCTTCTCGGAGAAATTGGGCTGTAATCAACTCAGTGGGGCGGGCTGTGTTCATACCTGTGGCAGGAAGAAGGAGAAAGGAGGGTCCCTCCCCCGCCCCCCGGCCTGAGTTGTGTGGGGGGGGAAGCACACCCAGCTTTGAGCCGTGCCTCCTGAGGTCCCATGATAACAGATGTGCACTGGGTGCTGATGAGCAGGTTAGATCATGAGGGGGTATCTGGGGGGGGGGGTAGGACTGTTCCTGTCAGGGGTGGGGTTTCAGGGGGCTGCTCAGGGCTCCCTGCGTGGGCGGGGAGCAAACCCCAAGGTTACTCAGGCTCTACTCTTAGGTCAATCCCCATTCCCACCTACCCACCTGCCACCAAACACTTTTCTTTCATCATAGAGGACAGGCATCTTGTAGATCACTAGTATGACATCATTTCCTCCCTGGTCGATTGGAAATCCCCATTCCCTGCTCGAGAAGTGCTTGCTTCTCTGAAAGCTGGTGAGGCAAGCAGGCTTTTAATTAAGCAATGTATACATTAGGGATGTGTCAGCATCTGGTTAATAAGAGCCATTAGCGTGGATACCAGAAGTCATCTGATTTCCCAGCAACAAGGAAGGGGGGGTGCATAGGAGGGGTGTGCATTAGAATACCCTGGGAGGTAGGAAAGCCTCCAGCCTGCTGGTTCCAGGGTGCAGGGTTAGAAGGGTATGCGTGTGCGCGTGCGCGCGCACACGCACACACACACACACACACACACACACACACACACACACACACGCTCTCTCTCTCCCCCCACCCCCCAGATACTCGTGGATGGACAGCTGGCCTCTCTTATGTCCAGGGGGGAAACCTACAAACATTAGGGTAGTTGATGAGGTGTCTGGACCCAAGAGTATTCGGACTTAGGTGTAGCCCCCGGGGAAACAGGAGCCAGGGGCCTCTTAGTGGGGAGAAAAAGGTAGATGACGCTCGGAAATGTAGGACTGTTCTTCCTGTAGCATCCTCGGAGTCACCCCCTGGCTGCTCGGCCCATCACCTCCAGCTTTGACCAACCCCTGGCAGTTCCTCATCCTTCATGTCTTTGCTACCAGTTGCTTACTTCCCGGGCTCCCTGAATATCCCCCAACTCAGTGTCTGTTAGTTCACTTCACCCTCCACTAAAAATCCCGACAGCTTCTCCTACTCCTGGGAAATGGACCAAGACTTGCATGGGGCCTACAAAGTCCCTGCCAGGCGTGGCTCCCGCTCGCTTCCAGTCTCCAGTCCTGCTGCAGGCCACACTGGTACCTTCCCACCTTTCTTTACGAGCCCTGGTTGGGGTCAGGACACCCTGTTCACGTACTCCTAGCTTACGTCATCTTTAGGGGACACTGCTTTCTCCCCAAGATCAGGAACAAAACAGATGTCCACTCTCACCACTTCTGTTCCATACTGCACTAGAAGCTCTAGCCAGAGCAATCAGTCAAGAAAAATAAAAGGCATTCAGACTGGAAAAGAAGTAAAAATACCTCTATTTGCAGATGAGATGATCTTGCATGTAGAAAAAAACCTAAGGAATGCACTAAAAAAACTATCAGAACCAATAAGCAAGTTCAGCAAGATTAGAGAATACAAGATTGAGAAAACAATTCCATCTGCAATACATATAAAAAAATATACCACGTAGGAGTAAATTTAGCAAAAGAATAATTCCATTCATATGAAATATCCAGAAAAAGCTAATCTATAATGAAACAAGTAGGTTAGTGTTCCCTAGGGCTGGGGCTGAGGGTTGGGGAAAGGAGGTTTCTTTCTGGGATGATGAAAATTCTAAAACCAGATTATGATGGGGCACCTGGCTGGCTCAGTCAATGGAGCATTCGACTCTTGATCTCGGGGTCATGAGTGTGAGACCCATGTTGAGTGCAGAGCTTACTTAAAAAAATTTTTTTAAAATTAGATTACAGTGGTGGTTGTATAACTTGGCACCAAATACCGCTGAATGGTACTTTAAATGGGTTGATTTAATAGTATATAAATTATATCTCAAAACTGCTTAAAAAACAAAACAAGTAAATGACATAGACCCCTCTTGGCCGGGCAGCTCACTGCCGATACCCACAGTGACCTCGGCCAGTCTGTCCACCCGCAGGCGCCGGATGTCCCAGAACCAGGCTGGCTAGCAGAGGAGCTGGGGGAGGGGAGGACTAGCTAAACACCTGTGCGAACACAGCCATTGCATGGTATCTGGTCCCAAGGCATCAGAGGATACTTCCTTAGGATAAGTCAAAGTAAAACCTATCAAAATGAAACCTCAGGGAATACTGGGGGATTGGGGTTCCCTTGCACGCCCTTGGCAACAGTGGGCTTGGTTGTCCCAGGCCCTGGACCACGGCCACCATGCTTTACCAACGTAAAGCCATGTGCTCATTTATCACTTGGCTAACCCGGGTTCACAGTACCCCACATTTGGGAGCAGGGAGCGTCCAGGCAGCTTTGAGATGTGGCGCTGGGTGCTGGGGAGCAGAGTGTGGACTGGGGGGCTGTGTTTGAGGGGGATGGACGTGGAGGTGGGGGACAGCTCTGCATTTTGCGTTAGGGAAGTGTCTGCGTAGACAACCAACCCCAAGGTCACAGTGATCTGGCTCTTCCCTGTTTAAATGTCCTCTGTGACCAGGAAGGAGCACAACTACTCCAGTGGGGCAATCGGCCCGCGCCAAGTCCCTGCGGCCCCATTCTCACGTCTCAGCTTGTTTTGCCCCTTCCTATGCGACTCAGCAGAAGGCCTATGTCGCCTGGGAACCCCTCCCTGCAGCTGTATGAAAGCAGATCACCTCGCCTCGGCCGTGGCTGCTCTAGGCATCTCCACAGGCCCTGCTTCACTGCACCTCCCAGCGCTCCCGGGCTCCTGGGACCTCCTACCCCAGATGGCACAACCGCAGATGCACTCCAGCTGCACACACCTTTCTGGTCCCGGGGTCTGCCCCCCCCAACCCACCGCAGCACTGCTAACTCTAATTCTCAGATACTTTATAGCGCGCTCTCAACAAACTCTCTACTGTCAGATGTACCACAGAGCCCAGCAACTCTGCGCCGCCGACATGCCTGCCTCCTCTCCATTTTACCACAGCGTGGACCCCGAAACCGTCACAGAAAACACTGGGATGGCCACAGCCATTTTTCCCAGTCCGTCTTAGCCTCAGCCGTAGGCCCACACAATCTCCTTGGCAGCACTAGGTGGCGATCCTGTGTAATCAATAATGAGCAAAGAGAAAGACTGCTAGCTGCCCGAGGAGACTGATTAAGGGGGCCCTTCGGGGGCCTGGAGCCCTGCACGTGCAGCCAAGGGGCGACTGGCCAACGCAGTGAAGAAGGGCTTCGGGCTTGCTCACACGGGGAGCCGGAACTGGCTCAGTCCAGCCCAGGAGCGGGGGTTGTCACACCTTAGGAAGTCTGTGAGTCAGCTGTTAAACACAGCCATTGTTACAGATGAAATGGAACACACAAGTTCAAATAGATGAAAAGCAAAGGCAATAAATACTCAAAACTCAACCCTTTCTAATTATCCTACCACATTTTACTTCTGTCCACGTGCTTGACGTTATACACGTCTGGTTGCTTAAGGATGGAGGAAACACTCTAATGGTGCACGGCTGCGCATCTCTTCCCCACTCTGAGACCAGCGGGGTCATGCTGGTAGCCTGCCCTTGGCCATGGCGAATGGAAACTGGCCAACCGAGTACAACTCAGGCCCTTTCATCTCCAGAGAGTTGGCTGCTCACCAGCACCCTGCTGTCCCCACACGGTCGTGGTGACCCCTGTTCGCTCGTCTCCAAGTGTTCTGCCTACATCAGTTTCGTAAGGTACGTGCAGGAGTTAGATCATTTTGGTACCTCTGGTGTTTTACAACACATGCGCTCCTAATCAGCTTTACACGACTGAGAACTGTCATAAAAGCATTATTTCATGGGGATCATGGGGGTTGGAGCAAGACTTTCAGACTCACAGTAAGTTATTTTTTGCGTTACATATATTAACAGATCCTTCTAAAACTCCACGTCACCGAGCCCATTCAGTGTTTCCTTCGGTGTAACTTTGGCACGATGTAATCGGGTTTCCCTACGACGACATGACCCCCATCATTACCACTTGAGTGGATCTCTTCCCCCCGAAGAAAATAAGCACACAGCGAAGCCGAGCTACAGCAGCTTGCTTTTACAGCAGGTTGCTCTTCTGAGCAGGGCATCGGGCCTC